AGATATAGGCTTACGTGTTTGGAATAAAATGCCTGCAATATTTTTTTTAATCCTCACACAGGGGCACTTTTCCATTGATTTTCAGACAGAGTGGGAGGGAGAGAGAGTGAGAGAGAGAGAGAGAGACATCGATGTGAGAGAGACATGGACTGGTCCCCAGGGCTGGGGATGAACTGCAACCAAGGTACGTGCCAATGACCAGAATGGAACCTGAGACTCTTTGGTCCACGGGCTGACGCTCTAACCACTGAGCAAAACTGGCCAGGGCAAATGTCTGCAGTTTTCAAATGACTTAGAAAAACATATACATGTGTATATCAACGTACACAGAGGTAACAGCTCACTATAAATAAATGTTCCTCTCAGACAGCAGGCATATGGGTTGCATTGTATAACTCCTTCAACTTTTCTATATATCTGAAATTTTTCAAAATAAAGTTGATAAGAAAAAGATTATTTTAAACAAACAGGCTGTTAATATAATTGAAGTTGCAATTAGAACTGGTGACTGATCACTTTAATGGACTAGTCTGTATAATGACCTTCCTCTCAAAATTGGTCTCGTTGATTGAATTGTTCTTATTTTTATGATCACTTGCATTTTTATCATCAAAAAGAATTATTTTTTAAAACACCTATTATGGACAACATTCTGGGGACAATGCATTCTTAACGGTCTTCTAATATCATTGGGAAGGTAGGAGATATGATCAAAGTAAATAACAAGACAAGAAAAAATAATAAGCTAAATGCACAGTATTGTAACCTCTTAGGATCCTGCTATAGCAAACCTAGATATGTCTTTACTGATCTCACAACCTCATCCCTCACTTTATAGGCAAGTAAGCAGATTTTAAACTTTTTTAAGATTATAGGTCACATACAATATTATAGTAGTTTCATGTGTATGACATAGTGGTTAGATATTTATATACCTTACAAAGTGATCCCCACAGTAAGTCTAGTAACAGATTTATTTTTATGTAGTCAAAATTTTCAGTGTTTTCTTTCAGACCCTGGATTGTCACTTTTGGTATTTTGTTGTTGTCATAATTAGAACCAGTTTCCCACATCAAGATTCTAAAAATATTCATCTATGGTTTCTTCTAGTACTTTTTATTTGTTTTAAATCTTTTATTGATTTTTGGAGAAAAAAGAAGGGAGAGAGAGAGAGAAACATCTATGTGAGAGAGAAACATCGATCAGCTGCCTCCTGCATGCCCCCTACTGGGGATCGAGCCCACAACCCAGGCATGTGCCCTGATGGGGAATCAAACCAGGACCTCTCAATCCATGGGACAACGCTCAATCCACTAGGCATCTTCTAGCACTTTTTTTTTTTTTATCCTCACCCGAGGACAGATAGAGTGGGAGGGAGAGAGAGAGAGAGAAACATCGATGTGAAGGGACACATCAAGTGGCTGCCACCCGCACGACCATCCAGGGCCGGGAACAAACTGCAACCGAGGTACGTGCCCTTAGTGGGAACCGAACCCGGGTCTCTCTGTACCGCAGGCCAAAGCTCCAACCGCTGAGCCAAACTGGCCAGGGCCTCTAGTACTTTTATTATTGATCATCTTTCATTTAAAATTTTAAATTATATGGAATGATTTTTGCTGTAAGAAAAAAGGTAGGATTAGAGCTTAATTTTTTCTAAAATTTACCCAGTTGCCCATTATTTTAATTCCTTTTGTCATTGATGTGACTTTAAACTAATGTGCCATTGCTGGTTTTACTTAATTTTGAGATCTCCTCTGTTTCATTGATGTGCTGATACTATGCCATTGTAGGCAATGCAGCATTATAACACCTTTCTGGATATGGAGGAGAAATCCTTCCCTTTTACTTTTTTTTTTAGAGAGAGAGAGGAAGGGAGAGGGAGAGAGAGACAGAAACATCGATGAGTGAGAACATTAATCAGCCACCTCCCGCATCCCCCCACTGGGGATCGGGCTCACAACCTGGGCATGTGCCCTGACCAGGAATAGAACCGGTGACTTCTTAGTGCATGGGTCGACGCTCAACCACTGAGCCACACTGGTTGGGCCCTTGTTACTTTTTTATTCAGAAATTTTCTATTCTTGCATGTGGTCTTAAGTCAGATCCAGTGCCTCGTTTTTATAATAAGTAGTTGGTAATATGCCCTTTACTATATGAAAGGAGATGACATTTATGGATATCATAGCCCCAGTCTTTGTGATAAACAAAAATGCCCAACCGATTTCCAAAATGACCTCAACTGAGAATCAATCTGGCAAGTCACTCATGAAATCCTGTGGAATTTGGTATTGCACAGCATTTACAAGTCAATTTAAGCAAAATTTTCATTTTTTACAGTGTTGTGCCCTCTAGCCCTAACGACACATTTCCCTTCATTTATTGATGTCTTCTTTGCATCCTCCAGGGTCCTGACAGGAAACAGGTGGCACAATCAAGTAACAAATTGCTACATTTAGCAAAGTGACAATTAATGACCGTTTGGACAGGATACAGGGAAATCAGAACGGATGGTACAGCAGTTCACGGGGGAGCCTTTACAAGCCCAGAGATAAAATGGCAAAGAGAAGGAACGATTAGTGGAATTTGTGAAGAATAGCCAGCCATTAGGAGAGTATCACCTGACAAGAGTTTCATTGGGAGGGGTTGAAGCCAACCTGCAGCCTGGAATGCGGGGCGGGGGGAGGGGGGGGCATGGAGTTAAATACTCAAACCTCTCTCCATTGGTCAAACCCAATCCAAAGCCTGCTGGCTGTTGATGAAGTTCTTACATTTCAGCCTCCAGGGACACAGCAGGGTGGGAAGGTGTGGAGAGTGGATCTGGAGGGGAAAGGGCAAGCACAAAAGCTGCTAGGTAAAGCATTACAGCCTCCCACGCTCCTACCACCTCCTTTGTCCCAAGCATTTCATGACAATTTTCTTCCCAAGTATTTCATAGCTTGGTTACTGTTTTAAATGAGAGCTCTCCTTCTAGTACCAATCTGGATCAATTACTGTTTATATATGAGAAGGCTACTTGTGTTTTTCTTTTTGTGTTTTAGGAAAACTTTTATTTTTTTTAATTTATTTATTTTTTATTTATTTTTGTTACAGATGTTTCTCTTTTTTCCCCCCTTGACACCCTCCTCCCAATTCCACCCTGCCCCCAGCATTATTGTCTATGTTCCTGTTTACACATACATGCGTAAAAGTTCTATGATTTATTTCCCCCCACCCCACATCCTGTCTTCTGAAGTTTGTAAGTCGGCACCCCACTTCCATGTCTCTGGGTCTATTTTGTTCCTCAGCTTGTTTTGTTCATTATGTTCTACAGATAAGTGACATCATGTGATATTTGTCTTTCTCTGATTGGCATGTTTCACTTAGGATAATATTCTCCAGGTCCTTCCATGTTGTCTCAAAGGGTAAGAGATCTCTTTCTTAAGGCTGCATAGTATTCCATTGTGTACATGTACCACAGCTTTTTTATCCGCTCCTCTATTGATGGACACTTGGGCTGTTTCCAGATCTTAGCGTTTGTAAATCGTGCTGCTATGAACATAGGGGTACATATATTCTTTCTGATTGGTGTTTCAGGCTTCTTAGGATATATTCCTAGAAGTGGGATCACTGGGTCAAATGGCAGTTTCATTTTTAATTTTTTTAAGAAACGCCATATTGTTTTCCACAGCAGTCTGCAGTCCCCCCAGCAGTGTACTGGAGTCCCCTTTTCTCCTTGCCCTTGCCAGCACTTGTTTGAAGGGCTACTTGTTTTTACAAATTTTTGCATAGCAAAGTGCTTTGATAAGACGGCATTTGATTTTTACTGCCTGTGCTAATATCACATGGTATGTGACCTGAGGAAGTCCATTATCTTTTCTGCATTAATTTCATTATTTGTGTTTTTTTTTTTTTAAATCCTCACTGGAGAATATTTTTCCATTTATCTTCAGACAGAGTGGGGGGGCGGGGAGAGAGAGAGAGAGCGAGACATTGATTGGTTGCCTCCCGCATGACCTCAACCAGGGCCGGGACCAAACTGTAACCAAAGTATGTGCCCTTGACTGGAATCAAACCCACAACCCTTTGGTCCACGGGTCAACGCTCTAACCACTGAGCCAAACCAGGCAGGGTCTATTATTTGTTGTTTTTTTTAAAGGATGATATTTATTTTCATTTTTAGCATTTATTGAGATCATGCATATAAAACAGTTAAAAGTGTCTGGCTCATAACAAACCCTCAGGAAAGACCACCTATTATTATTGTTATTGTTTCTAGCCAATTTTCAGCTGATCTGGGGCACCATCACTTTTCAATTCAGTATATTAACCCTGATCATGATCAGCTGATTTCCCACGCCAACCTGCATTTGTCAAATTCTCCCCAGGTCGACTAGGTAAAGAATTTGAAACATAACTGGATATTTTAACTCTCTCTACAAAAGGCTCAATATTCCGTTAGGAAGGGAATAATATCATGGGGACCCCACTTTGAGAAGCAAGGCTTTCTATGACACTAGACTGCAAGCACAGCTGACCATTTTTAGCGGCACAGTGAACCGACTGGAAGCTTTACCACTGCTTAAAACCCAGAGTTCCCTTCAGCTGGGTCTAAAGCAGAAAATGGTCAATGTGAACATCTATGATATCTATAGAACAGTGGTTTACAACCTGGAGTGCCTTTGCCCCACAGGGGATATTTTGCAATGTCAGGAGACATCTGTGTTTGTTAAAAGTGGAAGGGGGTAATGTTACTAGCATCTAATGGGTAGAGGTCAGGGATGCTACTAAACATCTTACAATGCAACAGAGAATTATCTCACAGAAAATGCCAATAGTGCTGAGATTGAGAAACCCTCCTGTGAAAAAGAACTATCACTCTGCCAGGATGTTCGGATTTAGACAAGATCTTGCCCGGGTTATGGAGGTAGAAATAAGAGGAACCTGGTATTTCTGCAAACCCTAAGTGTGGGGTGGCTTGAATAGTCATGCTCCTCCCCCTACCCACCAACTTTGTCTTTGCACTTGGAGAGCCTGGTAGCCTGGAGCCTCTGTGACTTTACCCCTCCTGCATCTCTGCATCTCAGAGGACTCCAGACAGAATCACTCCATGCAATCAAGAAAGGTATTTTAAACTTTGGGATCATTGAAGTAACTAGATATATCAGTTGTTCTCGGGGAGCAGGGAGGAGAGGGAACCCAAATCATATGCAAAACAAATTTTTTTTAGAACTTAAAGAAAAGTCTTGGTAGTCTAAAATGATCAATTCTTCGAAGATAAAGTCAGACTTTGAATAATATTAGAAATGGTTTTCTGGAGTATGTCTGTAATCTGTGTATCTTTGAGGAAGTAAATGCCACTAATAGGTGTTCTCAACAGCACACTTTAGAATAATGTTTCCAGCATGGTTGGAAGCTATAGTACTTTGCCTTTCTTTGAAATGCCCAGTTTGGTGTTGTCTTTTCTCTTAGTTGATGCTATAAGGCCCATCTCAGGCTGACCTTGACACCTCTCTTGCCCTGCTCTTTCCAACCAGACGTCTACACTTCATTTTGGAAGAAGACTAAAAATGGTAAGAACACCTATGAGATTCCTAAAAAGTGTTATCTGTAATCTTTGTGGGAAGAACTGAAACCAGCTGGTAGGAGCAACAGTTAAGAATCTGTATGTTGGTTATTTGCTGGGGAAAAGTTTTCGGTTATATTTCATAACCAGTATTAATCATGGTGGTATTTCATAATTTCAGATCAATCAACACTTGTTCTATCCAGTTTTTTACAAGAGTCAATGAGAGCTGTAGTGAGGAGGAACAGATGTTCGAACTGGGGAAATACCTTCTATGTGTCCATTTTTTTTTTATCCCACGGTTTGGCTTTAAAGCCCTACAGATCACTGAAGTTACTGTGAGCTTTCCCAGAAGATGGTATAATTTGAATGAACATATTATAAGAGCACACAGAGGGCTAGGACTGGAGGGAAGCTGGGCTTGCATGCTGTCTAAGAAACCCAGGGCTGCAGCTGTGGTAACACCCCCAAAAAACTAACAGTCAAGTGCCAGATTGTTGGATCACCCAACCTGAAAAACCACGATAGTCATGACAAGTTTTTAGGATAAGTAGCATTCAAAATCACAATGCTTGTGTAGTAGGAGTTAGACTGTCTCCACAGACTAAATATTGTGTTGTCTGTGTTCACTTTGTATCAGCTGGCCCTGACATCCTGGAATCATGAGACCACCCTAGACAGAGGGCGGGGTGGTACATGACACTGGGTAACATCATAATGGGCTTCCAGATCATAGAGTTCAGTGTCCTCTGAAGTAACCACCTGTCATTGCCTCTGCTGTGTTTTGTACAGTTGTCAGGTAAGGACTGTGAACACCTGCTTCTGAACATAGAGAATGGGGGTCTTGTCCTATTTTTATGTGGGCTCATTGCCAAGTGTGTAAAGCTTAATGTGTGATGCTATGTAAATATTTTCTAGATTTGACACTTGTTTACTGTCATGTTGTTCTTGATCCTCACCTGAGGATATTTTTCCATTGATTTTTAGAGAGAGGGAGAGAGAGATAAAAACATCAATGTGAGAGAGACACATTAATTGGTTTCCTCCTGCATGAACCCAGCCAGGGCTCGGGATTGAACCTGCAACCCAGGTACACGCCCTTGACTGGGAATCAAACCCGAGACATGCCTAACTGTCCTATTTTGATGCCAGCAAAGTTTTAGGGATAAAATGTTACCTGATCAACATGAAGTGACTTTATGGCTGCAAAATGTGGCATGTGGAGACGTTCTGTATGTTAAGGGTAGAGACGTTCTGTATGTGAAGAGGACAAAAGAAAAGAAAAGTGGATTTGAAAATTTTTAAAAAAGAAGAGAAAACCAGAGCTGGGCAATGGTTAAAGCTATGAAAACTGATTTGCCCATGAACTATGGCAGTAGGGGAAAAGACAACTCCGCAGAATTGGGCTCACTTCCAAATACAGCAAGTATAAGTGGAGACTTACAGGCAAGGAGCAGAGTGAGGGTCAGAGGATGGAAATTTACCAGGAGCAAACATCTGGGTTGAGGGGATTCAGGAGAAACTTCTTTGGCAGGGTTCTTGCTGAAAGCAGGCCAGGGAGGTCAGCTACCATCCAGGAGGTGGCAGGGATAAGGTATTGGATCAGATATCAAGGGTGAGGAATTCTCACTTAACTGATTTAGCAGGAATCTCATGAAAACCAGGCACATGGACACAGATGCCCAAAGTCAAGGTTTAGTGGCTCGAAGGAGCCTGATTGACGTTGAGTCAAGCAGTGAATGCTGGCTGTCTCAGTCACTAGCTGGGGGACCTTGGACCTGTCCCCCAAGCCCTCTGAAAATCGGTTTCTCCGACTCTAAAGTGAGCATTCTAATACCTCTCCGGCTGCCTTTTAGGGTCATTATGAGGCTCACATAACCGATTACAGGTTCAAGTCTTATGCAAGCAATGCGAGTTACTCAGTATGCCAAATATCATCAGAAAAATACATCAGTGGTCTTTTCCTGAAAATTTTCTGTCACCCAAATTAGATGAGATAGAGCACATTCACCAGAAACCCATTCCAACTTATAGACCTGAATGCTGACGCCAGGGCTCATTTTGTGTCTAAGGTCTAATGAAGAGTTAACCATGGGTGTATTATGTTACAAAGGAAACACTGCTTATGGTTTCATTTCCTAGGAACTCAGATGTCTATTTTTATGCAAACCCACGCCCACATCAGCCTTTGCCCCTTGAGAGATAGCACATAGGATTGATAATGGGGGAGAGTTCCCATTTGTTGACCACTTACTACAAGTGGTGCTGATGGCTTTTTGTCTATGAGTCTGTGTTGGCTTCAAAGCAGCCTTTTGAGACACTGATGAGGAAGCTGGGGCTTTAAGCCATTGAGGAGCTTGACTGGTCTTGACTGGGCACCTGACTGCGGAAGCCATGCTAGGGACCCCTCTGCTCTTACCTAGACCAAGCCAACACACACTCTTACCCAGGAGACACTCAGTGAATGTGGGCTTTGATGATGATATCTTACTACTTAAAAAAAAAGGAAAGAATAAAGGAGAAGTTGGTATAGCTCTTACTAGAAAAAAACATGGAGAATTTTTCAAAAGAAGAAATACAAAAGGCCAAAAAGCATGGGGAAATTATTCAACCTTGTTAATAGTTAAAGGTCCAATCCTTTTTTTTTGTTCCTCACCCGAGGATATTTTTCTATTTATTGTTAGCTAGAGGGGGAGGGCAGGAGAGAGAGAGAGAGAGAGATCAATGTGAGAGTGCCACATTGACTGGTTGCCTCCTGTGTGACCTGACCAGGGCCAGGAGGAACTGAAAGCGAGGTACATGCCCTTGACCAGAATTGAACCTGTGACTTATTGGTCCACGGGCCGACACTCTACTGCTGAGCCAAACTGGCTAGGGCAAAGGTCTGATCTTTTGATATGGAAATTTCACTTCTAGAAATTCTTCTTAAAGAAATGATCAGGAATGTGGCAAACTGTTTACAAAGTTAGTCTGTGCAGCATGGCAAAGAGAATTTTTCACGTCCAATGTTGGGGGGGGGCAGTTCATTCATTGTACTTCACCATTGAATGGAATATTATATAACCATCAAGTCATTTTTTTTCAAAGATTCTATGACATAAGCAAATATGCATGATATAATGATTTAAAAAAAAGCAAGCTAGAAGTAGATAAGTATTATATATTCCTGATGTTTTTAACACACATGCTCGATGCTTACTAAAGGTCACTTAATATGTGATGATGGTTTATATGAATAAATGTGTAACCTAGTTTTCTTAATAGTTTCACAAAAGAGCCCTTCATTCCAACCATTTTCCAGCAGAGAAATTGGAGGCTCAAGTAGATCAGAGAGCTCTTATGTGGCAGAATAAAAATTTGAAACCAAACCCTGGCCGGTTTGGCTCAGTGGTTAGAACATCAGCCCGCAGGCTAGTGAGTCACAGGTTTGATTTCGGTCAAGGGCATGTACCTTGGTTGCGGTTCGTCCCTGGCCCTGGTCGGGTCATGTGGGAGGCAACCAGTCAATGTAGCTCTATCACATCGATGTTTCTCTCTCTCTCTCTCTCTCCCTCCCTCCCACTCTATCTGATAATAAGTAGAAAAATATCCTCAGGTGAGGAATTTAAAAAAAGAATTTGAAATCAAGTCTTTCTATTGGCAAAGACCCAACTAGTTCTAAAATGCTTCTCGCTATGTGAAATAAATATAGGAATGGGGAGATAGAAGGAAATATGCCAAAATATAACCATAGTTAAGCAGTTTTCAAAATGAAAACATTATTCTGCTCTTGACTACAGCAAATTTCCTCATGGCTAAACAAAGGAATAATAAGAAATACATTGACTAAATTAATCAAATCTGATTATTTAGAAATTTGAAAGATGGTGCTGAAATTACAAATAGTCATTACAGATTAACCAACCAGTGTCTTTGGTTAAAAAGAAAATCCAACCTTTCTTATAGCTGCATAGTACTCCATTGTGTATATGTACCACAGCTTTTTTATCCATTTGTCTACTGATGGACACTTGGGCTGTTTCCAGATCTTAGCTATTGTAAATAGTGCTGCTATGAACATGGGGGTACATATATTCTTTCTGATTGGTGTTTCAGGCTTCTTAGGGCATATTCCTAGAAGCGGGATCACTGGGTCAATGGAGTACTATGCAGCTGTAAGAAAGAAAGATCTCTTATCCTTTGAGACGACATGGAGGGACCTGGAAAGTATTATCCTAAGTGAAACAAGCCAAGCAGAAAAAGACAAATACCACATGATCTCACTTATATATGGAATATAATGAATACAACAGTCTGAGGAATAGGGTAGACCCAGAAACACGGAAGTAGGGTACAGACTGACAACCCTCAGACGAGGGGGTGGTGGGGGTTGGGAAGAGATAAACCACAGAACTTATATGCATGTATGCATAATCAATGGATATGGACAACAAAGCCGGGGATGGAGCGGGGGGGATGGGGAGGAGGGTGTCAATGGGGTAAAAAAGGAGAAACATCTGTAACAAAAATAAAATTAAAAAAATAAAATAAATAAACAGTAAATCAACAATTAAAAAGAAAAGAAAAAGAAAATTCAACAGAGTAAATATGAAGATCTAATAGGCTTAAGCAGTTCATGAATCAGCAGCATGCCATCTAGCAACTACAAGTTTACCACAAGGGGTTGTATAAAATGGGAAGTTTTATAGGAAGAAGGGTGGAGCAAGGGAGCTATTAACAAGGGAAAAAAAGCAATTATTCTTTTTTTATTGATATTTTTTTTTCCAAAAAATTTTTCCCTTCATTGATTTTAGAGAGAGAGGAAGGGAGAGGGGGAGAGAGATAGAAATATTGATGAGAGAGAACATCAATTGGCTGGCTCCTGCAAGCTCCCAACTGGGGATTTGGCCCACAACCTGGGCATGTGCCCTGACTAGAAATTGAACCAGAGAACTCTTGATGCTCAACCACTGAGCCACACTGGCTGGGCGATTTTTTTTTTTTTTTTGGAGAGAGAGACATCGATTT